AATATTTCCCAGTTACATTTTAATCTGGTTTGGGCAACAGACACCTCTGCCTTAGAACTTTTAGAACACATTCCAGTCCAGATTGCTCTTTATATAGAAATATAATTTTTAATAGGACAAATATTAACTAAGCCCCTATCACATCTGTATATTTAAGAGAAAATACTTTCTGAAATCCCATGGGAAGAAATAGAACAAATAGGGACAGATTGTTGCTTGTCTAATTTTCATTGTATTCAGTTTCTGCTTAGATTACTCTATTTCTTGGGCTTCAGAGGTTCTTGGTGCTTTTAATAAATTCCTCCAGATTAGCAGCCACCAACACATAGAAACGGTTCTCTGCCAAAGCCACCATTTTCTTGGTTTTCTGAGAATATAGAATGGGATAACTAGGTTTGGCAAATGTGCTCCCTAGGCCATTAGGCCTTTGTAATTTCAGCTACCCCATCTGCCCACAAAGACAAGTTTATTCCTAAATCTGAGATGAATGTGTTATTACCTTTGGAATTGTCTTCTCTTCTTTAGGAGGCCTTCCTTTTTGGCATATGCTTTCACTTGACTCCCTTCTAATCACCTTTCTTATCTCTGGTGGTCTTAGGAGAGATGAAGTCAAATTCCTCTTTGTGTTTCAAGAGATCATCAGGTCTCTGCTGTTTGGGTCACTGCTGAAGGTTTCATGTTTTCTACCTAGGGTAATTCAAATGGACATTTACTAAATTTCACCACAAAACCAGCCAAGCAGATTGCGTTTATTATCAACCCAAGATGTTCATCTTTGCTCTAGCTAAATTTGGCTATATCGTCTAGGTAGACCATGGTAATTACTTTAGCCCTCTTAACCTATGAGTCTTTAGAAAGAGCTGGGTTCATTTCCTAGTTCAAAGGGAAAAATCATTCAACATAACCATATATATGTTTACATATATATGTATATATACATACACATAGATATACACACACATCTTTATGTTTATATGTGTATATGTTATTCGGTACTACACATGCTATTTTTTTAAAAAATTATTTATTTTTAGTTTTCAGCATTCATTTCCATGAGATTTTGAGTTTTAAATTTTCTTCCCCTCCCTTTCTGCCCCTCTCCCCAAGACAGCATGCAATCTGATATAGGCTCTACTTATACATTCATATTAAGCACATTTTCACATTAGTCATGATGTATAGAAAAATTAGAACTAATGAGAAGAACCATGACAAAGAAGAAATAAAACAAAACAACAAAAGAAAGGAGAGCAAGTACTATGCTTCCATCTGCATTCCAATTCCATGGTTCTTTCTCTGGATGTGGAGAGCATTTTCCATCATGAGTCTTTTGGACTTGTCTTAGATCCTTCCATTGCTGAGAAGAGCTAAGTCTGTCAAAGTCAGTCATCACACAACGTTGCTGTTACTGTGTACAATGTTCTCCTCGTTCTGCTCACTTCACTCAGCATCAGTTCATATAAGCCTTTCCAGGTTTTCTGAAGTCCACCTGCTCATCATTTCTTATAGCACGATAGTATTCCATTACATTCATATACCACAACTTGTTCAGCCATTCCCCAATTGATATTCATCTCCTCAATTTTCAATTCTTTGCCACCACAGAAAAAACTGCTGTAAATATTTTTGTACATATGGGTCTTTTTCCCATTTTTTTAATCTCTTTGGGATACAGTCCTAGAAGTGCTATTGCTGGGTCAAAGGGAATGTATAATTTTATAGCCCTTTGGGCACAGTTCCAAACTGCTCTCCAGAATGGCTGGATCAGTTCACAACTCCACCAACAATGCATTAGTGTTCCAATTTTCCCACATCTTCTCCAACGTTTATCATTTTCCTGTTTTGTCATGTTAGCCAATCTGATAGGTATGATACACATGTTATTTTTTGACTTGCATTTTTCATCCAAGGACATTTCCCCCCAAACCTTTATAAAATAGATAATTGCAGGGTGGCTCATTGGGAAAAGCATTGCATCTGCTGTCAGATCACCTGGGTCCAAATCTTTCCTCTGAAACTTACTACCTATATGACTTTGGGCAAATAATTTAATTGCCCTGTACCTAAGGTCCTCATCTGTTAAATGAGAAAGTTGGACAAGATGACCTCTGACACAGTTATTCAGTCCAAATATCTGGGCCACAAACTGAGCTACTGTACTATCCTGATCTCCCCTTGCCTTCCCCCTTTTACTCTTTTGCTTTGGGGAGGAAAAAGACAGTCCTTTAACAAATCTGCACAAACAAAACAAATTCCCTCATTGGTTGTATCTGAGAATGTCTATCTTATTTTGTGCCTAGAGTCCATCACCTCTCTGTTGAGAAATACCTAACATGTTTCATCATTAGTCTTTTGGAATGGTGATCTGGGTATTACAATGATCAGAGTTTTTAAATCTTTCAAAGTTGCTTTTCTATATAATGTTGTTACTGTTTAAATTGCTTTCCTGCTTCTACTTACTTCATTCTGCATTAGTTCATATAGATCTTCCTGTTCATTTCACAATTCATTATGGACCAACAATATTCTATTGCATTCATATAACATAATTTGCATAGCCATTCTCCAATAGATGGGCACCCCTTTAGTTTCTAATTCTTTCCTACTACAAAAAAAGCACAAATATTTTTGTAGATATTGATGGGGTAATGGGACTGGGATGCTTTCAAAGACATCATCTTTTCCTTCTAGGGGTCCAGGTCCCATTATCTCATCATATCCCTTCTTCTTTCTTTGTTTTTTTTTTTTTTTGGAGTTACTGAGTATAGTGGTGGTATAGGTGAATAAAGGGTATGCATAATTCAGTGATATTCTGTGTACAGTTACAAATTGCTTTACAAAATGGCTAGACCATTTCATGGCTCTACCAAGAGTAGATTAGTATACCTATTTTTCCATAGCTCTTCCAACAGTTACCATTTTTCTTGTTTTATGTTTTCATAAATGATCACAGAAATATGGAGGGGTAGGGAAGTGGAAAGAAAGTTTCAGTGGAGGAAAGAGAAGAAATCTTTTTTCATCTTGAATTGTTGACAGGAGTGGTCTGGAGCCCAAGAGCACAATAATGATTTCTATAAGGCTGATGCATTGGGTCTCTGAGCTCCTCATTTCTCTTTACCAGTTTGGTGGTAATTTCAATGTCCCACAGTGTCTAATAGTATAAAACATATAGTTATGAGAAAAGGAAAGTGAACCAGTAGGGTGAAAGGAAGTAAGACATTCCTCAACCTTCTCTATGGGAATGTCCTATATAGATCAGTGGTGAAGTATAGAACCTAGGAGTAGAGGCATATGTGAATTGTTAAGAATTCAGTAATTGGTGTACTTAGTAGTCCACAAAGATAATGATTAAAATAAATAAAGGACAAATAATAAACCCTATCAGAAAGAGAACTGAGGAACCAGATTATTTGAAGCAAAAAAAAAAAGCTGAGAAGCTTGAAAATGAATTTCCAAGTATAAGAGGTACTATGAGTTGGAAAAGAGACAAAAAAGAACATTCTAACTAAGGAATGGGATGTTAAGAAAAGCTGTAGAATTCCTTCTCTGGAGCCTTTTAAAAGATACATATTTTATTGATTTCTCTCTCTCTTTTTTTAAAAATATCTTCTACGTTTCCCAGTGTAATTTCCTTCCCCCTCCCAAAGACATCTTTTATAGAACAGGGGTAGGGGGGAAGTTAAATAGAACTAACCAAGAAGTCTGACACTTCATGTAGTATTCCATACACATAGACCCCCACCTCTGCAATGAAGCAAGGGAGGTTTCTGGAAAAGAATGATACAAGTTATTAACACAGGATATTTAAGTATAATCTCGCCTAGAGTCAGAGGTCTAGACTTGATAAACACTCAAGGTCCTTTCCAGTTATTGATACTATGATTAAGTAGAAGAAATCATTTCAGTGGCACAATGCAATTGTACTTTGTTTATTTCCCCAAATAGTTTCACAGTTCACAGCTGGGAGAAAAATAACTAGTAATCAATCTATACAAAGTCATATAGAAGAGGTGTTTCTCTGTTATTTCTAAATCTAGATGCCATTCTTCCTAAATTAAGGGACTCCCAGTTAGAGAGTAGGGGATGTAATGTGACAGGAAGAGGGGAGATTGTATTGCAGAGAACCTCAGGCTGCTGGGCTGGTCAATCCCAGCTAGCTTTGTCCCTAAGCAAGATTGCTTGCTTCTCCTCAAGGAAAGAAAGACTATCAGGAAAGATCCTCTCTTCCCTTCCAGCTGGTTTAGGGGCAGAGGTAGAGAGAAGATAAGAAGAAGGAAGATATATATTCATGGTAGTAACTCAGAGGCAGCCTTGCAAAAGTCATGTGGGATCCTGATCTAGAATTCATTATATGCTTCTGTCCACTTTTGACCAGACCACCTCTCTCTCTCTCTCTCTCTCTCTCTCTCTCTCTCTCTCTCTCTCTCTCTCTCTGTCTCTCTGTCTCCCTCTGTCTCTCTGTCTCCCTGTCTCTATCTCTCTTAGTTTAATGTATTTTAATAGCAAATTTACAGGAACAGCACAGAAGACAGACAACATTAAAAACATATACTTGCATATAGGACAACTCAATCAGAAAAGTATAGTAAATAGATGGAATCTACCCTACGATAAAAATGCTACAAACACCATTTAGTTGTCGTCAATAAAAAATTTACTTTTTGAAAAAAATCCAAATACTGGCATTGTCCAGAAAAATTTAACAGGTTTATCTATAATTGTTATAAAGTTAAATCGTTGAAACTTGTTCACGGAAACTTTTTTTGGACCACATTAATGCTTTATGTCCTCGCATTTATATTCAAAATTCACATACAAATGAAAATGGAAAAAACTTTGCAATACTTGATTCTGTCCCCTATTTTTCCATTCACAATCATATACTTAGGTAACTTTTGAGCCCATGGGGGGGCGGGAATCTAATGTTCAGAACTACCGATAACAGGAAGAAGAGATTTTTTTCTGTTTTGAGAATGAAGACTTTCCCATCATAGTGGAGTTTAAGCACGTTCTCCATGCATGCGGCGTGCTAGCTGGATATCTTTTGGCATGATTGTGACACATCTGGCGTGGATAGCACATAGGTTGGTGTTCTCAAATAGGCCAATCAGAAAGGCTTCACTTGCCTCCTGCAAAGCGCCAATAGCTGCCCTCTGGAAGCGCAGATCTGTCTTGAAGTCCTGAGCAATTTCACGCACCAGAAGCTGGAAGGGAAGTTTACGAATCAGAAGTTCAGTGGGCTTCTGATAGCTTCTGATTTCACAGAGTCCCAGTACCAGGCCTGTAGCCATGAGGCTTCTTGACTCCTCCAGTAGAGGGCACACTCTTGTGAGTGGCTTTTGTAGCCAGCTGCTTCCTGGGGGCTTTACCTCCGTGAACACAATTTACCACTGTGAACACAATTTAAGATTGTGAATACAATTAGCGACTGTGAACATAACTGAAAAAAGGCTCCATCTTCTCTCTTCTTAAGAAACTAGCAATCTGCCTTCATTTGTGCCACTGTCAGCTTCCCTGGATGCTTAACCAGAGACCAGATTTTCTAAATGACTTTCTGATCTTTCCCTTAGCTTTATTCTGAGAAAAGAATTTAAAATTTTCATATTAATCTACATGATATATATAATAAATATACTAATAATTTGGTTTTCTCAAGAGCTGCCTTTTCCAGCTCATGAGTCAGACTTACAATATAGCTTGAACCGATCAATTAAATTTTGCACAATCACTGGCATCTGTCTGTCTGTGTACCTGAAGTGAAGCGAATCAAAGATTGTAGAACCTGTTCCTGTTACAGATCTCTGGTTCTGTACCTTAGGGGAGGTGGTCACAATCCCCAAACTCTTGACTCCAGAATTGTTTTTGTGGAACTTAAGGGCTTCTCCTGGGAAACCACTAAATGATTGGTTGTAATCCACCTTCCTCCCTCCTTCCCAAGTTATGATTTAAGTGTATATAACCTGTGCTTTTACTTCAGCTAAGAGAACATTCCTCACTCTGAAACTGATTAATTAAACTACTTGATTACTGGCACTCCCATCTCTAGGTCTGCTTTGTGTGGCTCCAAGCATTCTCAGGTTAGAGAGTGGCTCAGTAAAAATCCTGTTAACAATGCTTATTCAAAAGAAATCCTGGTCACCCCTGCCTCTGTTACTCTAATTCATCAATATCATGGAAGACCAGTCTAGTGTCCTGGGAGTGAAGGAATATCCCATTGGTGGACAAAGAAAGGAAAGTGAAACTGTAAGGGTTTCTACCCAGCAGGATTTTTTGTTATCATCTCCACTATCATTTCTTTCATGTTCTGGATGTTGCAAATCAACTCTGTCCACTCTTAGACTGGAAGCTCTAGCTGAGACATTAGTTTGGGAGGCAAAATGACAGTAAATACCTCATCCTTTGACTCTCCTTTGCCTTGAGACAGATTATAAAACCTATTTGGAAAGGACCAGAGGTCAGCTAGTCCAATCTTCTAACCACTGCATAAATCCCTTCTACATCATCCTGCTGTAAGGTCATCTAGTTTCTGTTTGAACACTTCATGTGATTGGGAACTCTTGGAGCAGACTATTTCATGTTTTAGATGGTTCTTATCATTAGAAAGTTCTCTATATTGAACTAAATCTGCATCTCTGTAACTTCTGTCCATTGTTCCTATATCTGCATCCTGGAGCAACATAGAATAAGTCTATTTCCTCTTCGAATAGCAGATTCTCAAATATTTGAAGATGGAGATCAAGTCTCCAGTAAGTCTTCTTTTACAAGCTTTTTTGTTGTTAAGGCATTTTTCAGTCATGTCCAACTCTCTATGACCCCATTTTGGATTTTCTTGGCAGAGATACTGGAATGGTTTGCCATTTCCTTTTCCAGCTCATTTTACAGATGCGGGTTAAGTGACTTGCGCAGGGTCACACAGCTAGTAAGTATCTGAAGCTGTATTTGAACTCAAGAAGATGAGTCCTTCTGATTCCAAGTACAGTGCTCTATACATTGAGCCAAATACCTCCAATTCCTTTGGTTATTTCCAGAGTTCTAACTATTCTAATCACTATATATTCTGGACATATTTCAGTTTATCAGTTCTTTCCTGATTAAAAAATGGTAGCCAGAGCTAAACACAATACTCCATATAGAATATTACCAATGCAGAAGATAGTTGGACCACTACTTTCCTTGTTCTACACACATGTACAATAAAGGCTGCAAATGAAAGTTCTCTATACCTCCTAAGACATAAGATAGAGTTTCTCCCGCCTTCTGTCTACCCTGTCTCATTCTCATAGCCCCAGTTGTCCAAGCTTACAGTCACAAAAATTGGTGAGTTCTAGACCTCAGGGAATGGTCAATCCTCAGAAGAAAAGGTAGCCCCAACACGCTAACTATACAATGGCCATTTTGCTAGCTCTCATCCTGACAGTGAGATGAAATAGCTTTTCCCCAGATGTAAGATTAGGGTATACCTGAGTATTGGTTGTATAGTTTATTTGCAGCATATCATATTTCCTAGGGACTTTCTCAAAGCTGCCGTGATCTTTCCAACTATTCTTTGTTTTATCAAAAAATCTTTGGAGTTCAGAGAAGAATTGGGGGGGAAATCTCATGGATGAAGCTACAAGGACATTTTCAACAGTCCTGCCAGGACAACTTTGCCTCCTCATAAAGGATCTCTTCAAAGCCCCACTTACTGCACAGAATGCTCTCATATTACCTTCCCATAAAATCTGTACTCATAAGGATTCTGGAAGGAGAGAAAAAACCTGGGGAGAGAGGCTACTTAGATGGAAAAATAGGATCCTGGGTGTTCCTTATGTTTGAAAATATTTGCCTCATTCTGTACTTCTAGGCCATTGCCATCTGCCAAGAGGTAAGAACCATCTTCAGTCTTCTTAAGTCATTATCAGTGATTATATTGATTAGAGTTCTGAAGTTTTCAGAAGTGTTTCCCTTTATAGGACTGTGATTACTTAAACAAATTGTTTCCTCTGATTCATTTCATTCTGCATCATTTCATAAAATCTTCCCATGTTTCTCTGACTTCATCATATCCACCACTTTGTACATTCTGTTCCAATCTATTATGTTCATATATTACGATAGGACCAATATTTGCTAGGGATCCCTTCTTCCTGCCCCTACTCTCCCCTTCACATAGAATAGGGTAGATTTTTCCCTAAAAGATGACAAGGCCCAGTGAGGGCAGGGCTCAAGCTTGTAACTCCCTCAACCATAGCTTCCTGCTAGCCTCAGACTTTATTGGCATAACTTCCTGGTTATCTGGTTACTTTGATTCAAGATAAGAGAAAGCTAAAGTTAGGAGTTACTGGGTGGCATGATGGACAGACTGCTGGACTTGAACTTAGGGAGAATTGACTTTGAAACCTATTTGAGACCCTTACTGCCTGTGTGACCCTGGACAAATCTCCTCAGTTTCCTCATCTGTAAAATGAAGATAATAGCACTTATCTCAGGAGGTTGTGAGGACCAAACGAAATAATATATGCTAAATGTTTTGCAAACCTTAAAGCACTTAATGTGCTAAGTTAGTGTAAAGAGTTATGTTGGACACATTCATTTAATCTGCTTCCCAGCATATGAACCTGTTGAAGTTTTGATGAAATCAACATAAAGTAAGAGGAATAAGTAAATATTAGATTCTCATTGTAGGCCAAGCTAGCCATACTTAGCATCTATTTGTGAGGAGTCTTGTATTTAGGAAGCTACGGGCACAGGGAAGGTAACCCAACCACTGAAAAAAAATAGCATGTTTCTCAAAGAGGCCTTTCTACATAACATCATATAAATCATCCCCTTCACATTATGTTACTACAGGGTAACTGATTATAAGTTATAATAATGCCTGGCTTTATAGTATAAGAGGTCCCAAAAGCTTAAAACTGCACTGATTTAGGGGATATCTTATATGTTATGGTTTTCAAAGTGCTAATTGTATCTCATTAAATCCTTCCAACAGTCCCATAAAATTGGTACAGTATATATATACATATATGCACACACATATATATACACAATAAACATATGCACGCACATGTATATAGGTATATATCATATACATGTGTATATAGTTGTGAGATTATATATGTATATGTATGTGTTCATATAGATATTGATACAGATATAGTTATATATTACTATATATTGATATAAATAGGGATATATCCCTTTTACAGATGAGGAGATTGGGCTCAGAGAAGTTAAGCAACTTGTCCATGATCAGGTGATAGGCACTAAATGTCAAAGGCAATATTTGAACCCAGCTCTTTCCAGACTTTAAATCTAGAGCTCTTTCCACTTTACTATGCTGCATCTCTGTTAACATGGGGCATATTGTGCCCTGGGTCCTGTCGCTGCAGAGGGCTTCTTATGGTACAAAACAGTTTAAATTCTGAAACATACCACAAGTGGCCTCGACTGACATTTCATCTCAGCCTACAGATCTTAAAAATAGATACCTCTGATTCCCTCAGACATCCTACATCATGTTTTTTTCAGTGGATAGAGTGTTGTGCTTGGAGTCAGGAAGACCTGAATACAAATCCAGCTTATCAGCTGTGCGATCCCTGGCAGGTCACTTAATTGCTGTCTGCCTCAATTTTCTCATCTGTAAAATGAGGATAATAATAGCACCTACCTCCCAGGTTTGTTGTGAGGACAAAAGTTAAGATGATATTTGTAAGGCACTTAACAAGCCTCAAGGAACTATATAAGCATTAGTTGTTTTATTATTATTATTATCATTATCATTATTATTAGCTGAATAGGTTTGGCAAGTGTGGTACCCTGTCATTAGGACTTTTCAATTTCTTCTGCCCATAAAGATAACAAATTTACTCTGAGAATTTGTTGTTACCTTTGGAGTTTTCTTTTCTTTCTTAGCATATGCTTTCCTTTGGCTCCCTTCTAATTGCCTTTCCTGTCTCAGATGGTCTTGGGAGAGCTGAAGCCAAGCTTCTTCTTGTGCTTCCAGAGATCATCAGTGCCTCTTTTGCTTGGATCATTGTTAAAGCTTTTATATTTTCAACCTTGGGAATTCCAAATGGGCATTTATTAAATCTCACCTGATGCCAGACTGGCAGCTGGCATTTGCCACCAACCTAATATATTTATCTCCACTATGGGTACACACTGGAACTTTTCTCTTAAGGGACAAAGTCATCACAGATACTGAGCAGAGATAGGCACTGTT